TATCATATTTTAATATATTTTATCTATTTTATTCTAATTTTGGTTTTATTTTCGGTTTTCAATTTTTAAGAGACTCAACCGAAACCAAACCGAAATATATTCGGTTAATACCGAAACCGAAAAAATAAAACCAAAAACCGTTGAAACCGAACCGAATTCATTTTTTCAGTTCCGTTTTCGGGTAAAGAATCGGTTCGGTTGAAAAATGCCCAGCCCTAACTCCAGCAACAGATAAGTAGGCAACAATGGAGGGTTTGAGATTCTTGAAGAGTGAAAGTGAGGGTTTGAGATTTAAGGTGAGAGTGAGGGCAAAAGGGTGAGAACTGAACTGAGAAGGGTAGAAGGGCGGCAAGTGAGGATAGCAGTGTGCCAACGTAGAAGGGGAGGGGAAGGTTGAAGGTAAAAGTGATGAGAAATGAGTAAGGTTAGGGTTAAATGGTTAATGATTGGTTAGGTTAATTTTTATGGGTTGGGTTGGGTAAAATGGGTTAAGTTTAATTTTTATTGGATTGGGTTTGAATTTGAAGATTGAATTAAATTTAAAATAAAATTAATTTACATATTTTTTTAATTTTTTATGGTGGGGCCTCGTGGGGTAATGAAAATTTCCTGTAAAATTTTATGAAAGGAAAAAGCCCATCATCCTAGTCTCATGAGAAGGAATATTCCTCCTTGTCCTGTCTCCGTAACAGGGATCCCTATGGGGCCTACAAGGATCAAGCAAATTGCCTCTCTCACATACATGTGAAATTCCTTCAAGATTTTCTTGATTTGTATGTGTAATGTGTTGAATTTAAACGGTGGAATTTGTTGTACTGTATACACCTAGAGTTCTATACCATATTTTTGTGTATATATTTTTTTTGAACAATTTATAATTATTTATAAGGTTAATTGAGCGAAGGGAGAAAGGGATTCCTTGGGATTTAAACGTGTAACTCACCGAAGGTGAACAACTTTAACCCAGAGTGCAATACCACTGGGCTGGAGCAAACCGTTCATATTTTTGTGTATATTAAAAAATATTTCTAATGATATGTTTAATTTAAAAAAAATAGAGGGGAAAAAAGGGCATGAAAATAGGCAATGAGTCTAGTATCCTTTTAGGTGTCCTTTTAGGGGGACTGATTCTACATCACTTGGGTCGTTGGGTTCATGGTTTCACGGTCAATATTGGTGTCACTTCCAGTTTTATTGTCGAGCTTTGGGGCTGTCGTGAGGGATTAAAACTCGCTCACTCCGTACACCTGCAATATCTCATCCTGGAGATGGACTCACTGATGGCCATTCATTTAATTCAAACTCGTCAAGTACAGAGGGGACCTTATTCTATCTTGCCTTCTGATATTTTAGTCTTACTTGATGGTTTTAGTACTTGTATCGTTCGCCATACACTTCGCGAAGGGAATTCAAATGCAGATTTTATGGCGTCCTTGGGCCACAAATCATCCTTGGGTGCTACCATTTATCCGACTCTACCTTCTGGGATCAGTATGTTCTTGCATGGAGATGCTGTGAGGACTATGTTCCTTAGATCTTAGACTTTAAATTAGTATCCTATGTACCAAAAAATATATATATATATTATTAACCCCAATGAGATAGCTCAATAGTTAAAAGTTGGATATCTTAAGTTAGAATCTTGAATTAGGTGAAGAGAAATTTAATAATAGAGGAAAGTTATACTCTATTATATAATCCATAATCAGATGTAAAAAAAAAAAAAGAAATATTATTTATAAAAGTAATATCATCTTATTTGAAAGTTAGTATAAAACATTTAGAGCACAGTTACAGTCATTAATTAAAATGTTGAGGTGATTAAAAATTATAAAATAT